TATTTTCTACCACAGACGTGGCCACACATTTACAATGCTAACCAGCATATATACATTTTCTTCTGTCCTCCATGGACAGGGTTAGAGATCAGTTAAACATATAGTTCAGGGATTTATTGAACAATCAACCACAGAAGGTGATTCGGTACTTTTAAATTAATACTCAATTAAATACTCAATTAGAGTGGGAAGACTGCATATTTTGGGATTGCCAGAAAGCCTTTGGCACAGTACCCCATACGAGACTATTGTATAAGTGGAAGAAGCAGGCAGGAGCGAGAGTGAAGTACTACAGTGGATAAGGCAGTGTCTAAGCAACAGCGAGTCACTGTGAGGAGGTGAGATCTCAGAGTGGCAAATTGTCACTAACGGAGTCCCACAGGGTTCAGTATTTTGACCTATCATGTTTTGTATATACATAAACAGTTAGACTCATTCATTTCAATGTTTGCTGATGATGCGAAAATTATGAGGAGGATTAAGACAGAGGAAGAGAGCAAGAGGCTACAAGATGACCGGACAAATCGAAAGAATGGTCCAACAAATGGCTACTAGAGTTTAACTCAAATGTAAAATAGTGAAACTAGGTAGAGGGAGCTGAAGGCCAGACTCAAGGTACCAAATGGGAGATAAAGTGAGACGGAGAAAGAGAAGGATCTGAGGATTGATATCCCACAGAGCATGTCTCCTGAAGAACACATCAAAACGATATTATCAGCGGCATATGAGAGACTGGTTAACATCATAACTGTCTTTAAAAATTTGTATAAGGATATCATTAGAGTCTTGTATATCACATATGTCTAAGCAATGCTGGACTATAGTGCTCCAGCATGGGGGGTCCATACCTAGCCAAGCAAAAGGCGAAGTTGTAACAGGTTCAACGGTATGTCACTAGACTCGTTCCACAACTGCGGGTTATAAGTTATGAGGAAAAGCTGCGTGAATTGAACCTCACGTCGCTGGAAGGCAGAAGAGCTATGGTAGACATGATATTACACACAAAATTCTCAGAGGAATTGATAGATATAAACAAGACTATTTAACACGGGTGGTACGCGAACAAGGGAACACAGGTGGAAAGTGAGTACCCAAATGAGCCACAGAGACATTATAAAGATTTGTCAGTGTCAGAGTAGTTAACAGGTGGAATACATTAGGCGGGGATGTGGTAGAGGCTGACTCCATACACAGCTTCAAATGAACCTGTACACCAGATGATTAGCAGTTGAGTGGCGATACTAAAGAACTGCACCTCAATCCCCGCAAGCACATTACGTGAGTACAGTATGTTAATGGGGTTAGCCCGGTTAAAACACACACACACACACACACACACACACACACACACACACACACACACACACACACACACACACACAGGGGACACAGGTGGAAACTGAGTGCCCAAATGAGCCACAGAGATATTAGAAAGAACTTTTTTAGTGTCAGAGTGGTTGACAAATGGAATGCATTAGGAAGTGATGTGGTGGAGGCTGACTCCATACACAGTTTCAAGTGTAGATATGATAGAGCCCAGTAGGCTCAGGAATCTGTACACCTGTTGATTGACGGTTGAGAGGCGGGACCAAAGAGCCAGAGCTCAACCCCCGCAAACACAACTAGGTGAGTACACACACACACACACAGAACAAAAACAATGACGAGACAAGTAAGCAAAGGTCAGAAGACGACAAAACCAAACCACACAACGGGAGATGACAACGGAAGGTCACCAACGGTCGCAACAGTAGACCACGCCTCATATTTCCAGTGCATTAAACTGAATATATTTTCAGTCTTTAGTCCTAAACAAAAAAAATCAGAAGCAAATATATGAAAGTTAACGTGAGAGAGAACGGAAGACCTACATGGGTCCAGGACTTCGTTATCTAATGGGAAAACTCGTGGACAAAATTTACTTATACAACTTTCCAGTAGATAGAGGTCAGTTTAGAACAAGTGAAGGCTCTCTTCCTACCCTAAACTCCTGCCACCTCACGATGCTGACTGGATTGAAAATAAAAAAAGGGGACTGGAATTAACACCATGACGTAATGACAAAAGGAGAGAGAGAGAGAGAGAGAGAGAG